AGAAATATTTTGTAATTTGTAAACCGGAAATGTCGACACTTAACCATAGAAACGAAATGACATCGACCTGCAGACATTCTAAGAAATTCTTGTTAAGTACCGCGCTTACCTAAATAGATTCTCCCGACCGTTTAGCATTTTTACCGTCCAATCACGTCACCCTAGCAAGCATTGTTCCCCATTTCCAAATTTATATATCTTGACATGTAACCGTTATTGTTGTCAGTTGCCTGATGACTGCTTCATTAGAAGCGTGAAACTCAGAGTAGCGATTAAATGTTTTTGAACTAGTCCGACTCCAGAAACTTATCTTTATTCACAGCTCTGGTTTTACCATCGAGCACTTTTATAGCAGATGAAGTCTTCACTTCTTCCATTAGTAGTTCTGCCGTTTAAACGCTAACCGGGCGTGTGTCCACTAATTTTAGAAAGTCGATGATGGCATGAGCTTGTGAATAAGTATTTTAGGATCTCGTGATATTTTTATTTTCATCAAAGTTTTAGTCGACGATCGTGGAATGTGTGAAGATTTGTAAATACGTTTTCTGAGGAGATTTTAAAAAAGTTCTTGTTATTACTTTTTCTATTATTGTTATTATTATTATCATTATCATTATCGTTATCGTTATCATTATTAATATTATTATCATTATCATTATTATTATCATTATAATTATTATTATTATTATTATTATTATTATTATTATTAGAAAAAGAACGGGCAAGGGTGTAACAACAGGGCATGCGCGGTGATGGCATTTAGCATAAATGTTTCTGTTGTTCTGTTCCATAAAATTGAGTCAAAGCTCTTCAATTAGTGGCGGCCGGCATGGTCAAAAGAAGAGACCTGTGTAGTGTCCGTCCAATTATTAACTGTCTAGTTAAGTTTGCTACATGCATTCAGCATTCTCAAGTCACGAACACGTTTCGCCCGCGTAGCTGACGGGATTTGCGTGAGAGTAGTGGGTTTTGCATGCCGACAAAGTAGAACAAAAGCATACACGTGCGAAACAGTCCCACCAGACACGAAGCCTAGATCCTTTCATATTGATTTACATTGGAAGGTCCGATCCAGGAAGATGCACTTCCGAAACGCTTTGATTGATTGATTGATTCCTGGTGCGTTGTAGCCTATTTAGTTTGGTTAGTTACAAGATATGTAATCTGAATATGTTCGTAAAAGTTCACAGTTTCTTTAATCTCAGATGGAAGGTGACAGTCCAGCTCGACTTCCGGTTGCCCAAACAACTCAAGCTCAGGCTCCTCCTGGTCAGCCAGTGATATATCAACAACAAGTCCTTCCCGGCCAACCAATCATGTACCAGATGCAGACCGGCCAACAACAACCGGTTTCTGTTCAGGTTCCTGCCGGTCAGCCAGCCACTACAACAGCTGGGCAGCCTATTCAGTATTATTATGTCCCTGTGACGCAACCAATGCAACCGGGTCAACAGGGACAGCCAGTACAACCGGTACAGCCGGTACAGCCGGGCCAACCATTGCAACCGGGACAACCGGTTTACGTTCAACAAGTACAACCTCAACGTCAGGCTGGACAGGGTCTGGATCTCGCTATTGACACGGATTTTCTCAAAAGCCCTATGTGCTTCATTAAAATAGCAGAATTTGTAAGTATCGCATTTCCCTCTACTTTCGAGTGGAGAAAATAAGAAGACAAGCACGGAAAGTCCTAACTTCAAGGACTAACTAAGGACTCCTCACATAATCCAACTTAACTTGAGAACTTTGGAGGCGAGAAGATGGTTAACTGCTAGAAAACTGGTTTGACTTTGATGATTCACGGTTATTTTTGTGTCTTGTGTTTTAAAAGCCAGCAGCCCCTTTTTTGTGTGCCGTTTCGAATTTATTATAAAAACAACTTTCTCCGTAGCTCAAATCATGTTTAAGAGGCTGTCCGCCTAAGAATCGACCACTTAATTCGGATCAAAATTTCGATTTCCTTCAGAATTTCTCCACGAAACAAGGTTTATATAAGGTAAAATAAAATACATTTCTTTGGTTTTTATTCTTGATAACAGTCGAAATTTTGAGGAGAATGTGATCGATACCCGACACCCTCAACTTGGGCCTTTCACGAAGCCGAAATTAGCCCTCATTGAGATGCTTGCTGCCGAGCGTATATTTAGCGTACGAAGATAAGAATTACACTACCATTAGATACATCATTGCACTTAACACAAATGGTGAAATCAAACCTGAGTATGGAAAATTACTAACGTTGTAATCACTTAAACAGGACAATGTCAACGCCATTTTCAAGAAGCGGGCCAAGTGGCGTAGCGGAAAGCGAAATTTCTCATAATTCTGACTTATTCGGAGAACCTGTTGTATTTT